TAGTTTGTATAATGTATGCTCAAAATAATTCGTACGGTTTTAAGCGTGCGGGTGCACGGTAAAAACCTTGGGAAGTTTTTTGAGCCAATGTGGAGACTTTTTAGTTCCTCTCCGTCAACACGAAGAAGAATTTAATCGTCAATAACGAAGTTTGCTCTAACGTGAACTGGGATTTATTTCTTCACGTTCGCTACAAAAACCGTGAGGCAGGACCGACAGCGTGTCGGAGCGGACCCGCTAAAAATCTGAAAACTGAAAACTAAAAACGCACGCGCCCCAACGCCCCCTGCTAGACAAAAGGCCAAACTCCTGGCGCGGCGCAAACGCCACGCTACGCCGCCCCCGCGTGCCAGGCCACGCCGTGCCGTGCCGTGCCGTGCCAAGCCACCCCTTCCAGCTGTTACGTAAATGGACGACTCTCTCTACATGATTGCTGTGTCTGCCCTGTCTGCCGCCTCGCCGTGCCTGGCCCTGCTCGGCAGTGCTTGCCTTGCCCCTCGTGCCTCCAAGGCCTTCTCACCTGCAATCTGTGTCGCTGCGGGTCGCTGTCTCCCCCCACCCCGACGACTCGCGCGCACCTTCGAAGGCAGAAACTTTGTAGCCCTCGTATACTCCTTATCTAGGTCAGCCTGATACTCGTTCACGCCGCTGCTTTGCTTTCCTACCGCCGGAAAAAAAGAAAAAAACAACAAAAAAAATAAGAAAGAAATCAGCACTCTGCGCTGTTGTTGATGTTGCCTGCTGGTTTTTTTCTGAGCGACTGAATTTTCCATGAAGCAGCGCGTGCGGTATGAGGAATTCGGGGCCGTCCGCGCCCGCAGGAGGCTCAGGTTGGCCACCTGTTCGACACTTATAGAGCGTCGTGGGAATTTTCGCCCAGTTGTGTGGCACCACTGGAAAAGGCATTCGCGCGCCTTTAGCCGCTTTTGGCGCCAAAACCCGCGGCCCGCAATCCGAAGCGCGTTTCGCGCCGAAGCGTTCCTCCCTTATCAGCGTGCCGCGCGCGCCGCGCGTCACGGCAGTGATGCGGTCTACTCCCTCACACTTATCTGCACAAGTCGCGCGCCAAAACTTCGCCAAAAGTACCAACTTTGGCTCCGGCCTTTCTCACCCTCCGCGACTTTTCTACTGCAGGCCGTTAACGTTACAGGCCGAACGGTGACCTGGAGGCAGCGCCCCGCCCCGCCATGGGGGCGGAGGGGCCATCGTGGCCCGGTCCCGCTGGGCACCGCCTCGGCACCGCCTCGGCACCGCCGTCCCTTTGCCGTCCCGCCGGCCGTCTAACTAACGCCGAGGGAGGGCCACCTACAAAGTTGTCCAATCAGAATCCAGCCGTCTTGACGCCGGCGTTTCCTTCCGGAGAGTCTATAGGCAAAAGGGGCAGCCGGAGGAGGGGGGTGTTCAGTGTGTGTGTGTGTGTGTGTGTGTGTGTGTGTGTGTGTGTGTGTGTGTGTGTGTGAAGTGTGTCGGTGTAGGTGTGTCGGTGTAGGTGTGTCGGTGTGCGTGAGCTGTGCAGCTGTGGACGCTGTGAGACTTGCAGAAGGCCAGTACATCGTACATAAGCCATCCGGTTAAAAGGAGTGGGGGGGGGGGAAATCTTATAACCGAGGTGAGTCATGTGGCGCAGGGGCTGTAGCTGTAACGGAGTCAAGATGGGTGGTGTACCCGTGTGGGGTACCCGCACTGTAAAAAGAGTAACGCATCCTTGCATTAAATTTAGTACAACCCCACCCCCCTTTCCCCCCACTCGCGTAGTACATTCGGCGCTCAAGCGCGGCAAGCGTCAAGAAGGGGAAGGGGAGGGGGTGGAGGCTTACGGCGACACCCCTCGATGGCAGTATGACGAATTACGCAGCGAGTATGAGAAACTTTGGGTGCGTGTTTTCGCGCGGTGGACGGAAAGTGCCTCCAGCAGATGCTTCTGCGTGTTGGGTGGCGGGGCGGGGCGGGGCGGGGCGGCGGGGCGGGGCGGGGCGGGGCGGGGCGGGGCGGGAGGGGCGGGGAGGGGCGTCACATGTTACCGCGTGCCGCCGCCCCGCAGCGTGCTGGCGGCCCTGGCGGCCCTGGCGGCCCTGGCGGCGCGCGACGCTGCCAGGCAAGGCGGCGCGCGGCGAAGGCGAAACTTGCTAACGCCTTCCAAAGGAGCTTACCAGGATATTGGCGGCGAGGAAACCCTGTTCGACGCCACTGCTAATATCGCGGCGGGCCGCGGCCGCACTTTCCGCGGTGACAGTGTGGTGTCCGCGGCCGCGGATGCAGCAACCCGTTCGCGCGCCCAGCCTCCCCACCCCCGCCGACCGGGCTTTCTGCTACTACACTATGCTCGAGGGCTCCCGCACGCCGAGCTTTCCAGTGTACACTGTACGTACTCGAGGGCTTTCTTCTGCACTGTAGAACTTGAGAGCTTGAGAGCTCCGCACGCTGAGCTTTCCGCCACACTGTACTCGAGGGCTCCGCACGCCGCTTATTGCGTGTATCATCCACGCCGCGATTACGCGTGGCAAAAGAGATAAAAAGCACCCACTTTTATTTCCTCCATTTTTTTCCTCTTTCTTCTTTGTTTCTTTTTGCTTCGTAGCCGTATTGCTCCGCGTGCCTGCGTGCGCCGTGCGCTGCAGTGCGCGTTCCAGCTTCCAGCTTTAGGGCGTGGGGCGACGCTCAGTGGGCCAGAAGACCGGTGGAGGCGGCCAAAACTCGAGACGCGTTTTGAGCTCCAGGGTCGCTAAATGGGCCTCGAATCGAACGTGTGACCCCACCAATGGATTGCTCTCCGAACGAGGAATCCATTGGTGAGGTCACACGTACAGTTCGAGTCCCATTTAGCAACTCTGGAGCTCAAAACGCGTCTCGAGTTTTGGCCGCCTCCACCGGTCTTCTGGCCCACTGTGCGACGCAGGGCTATGCCAGGCTATGCAGGGCGAGTCCGCTGGAGCCGGGCTGGAGCCGGGCTGGAGCGTAAGGGCATTGCCGCGAATATTAATGAGTCTACTCGTCGCGTAATACAATGTGTCCGCCATCATTTTTCATCTCACTGCGCCGCGCCATGGCCGCGCCCTGCCGTGCCGTGCCCTGCCCTGCCCTGCCCTGCCCTGGACGCACCCTGCCCTGCCCCACCCCTCCCCCGTGCCCTTGCCTCCGCCGTCAGTCCGTAATAAAGACCTGGCGAGATGTCTCGAATTTCTCTCGGGCGCGCAGGGCGCAGGGCAGGGCGGGCAGCGTGCAGGGCGAGGCGAACTGGCTGAGAGGGCTGCCAGGGCTGCCCAGTGTTATGCCAGCGCGGCGCAGCTTGTGCGTGAGGGAGACAGAGGGCCAGCGGGGCCAGCAGACTGAGAGTCGCTTTCGTCGCTCTGTCTCTCTCGCACCGATGAGGCTTCCCTTGTGGGTGCGAGAGAGACAGAAAGCGACTCTCGGAATCAGTCTGCAGCAAGGCCAGCAGGGCCAGCTGCAGCGCGTCTGCAAACAGCTTCACCGGCTCCACAATTCTGGACACACTGCGCCAGACGCCGGAATTCGGACGCCCGTTTCCGGGATCGCGGAGTGGGGATGGGAAAAACGGAAAAGTGGAGTGCATTGCCGCCGAGTCCAGGTGCACCAACTTGCAAGTCTTGAACGTGTGAAACGTACCGCGCCGGTCCATCCAGAGAGAAGGGTCTCGCGAACCTCAAGAACAAGCGAGCGTGGTGGTTGCCGGAGCGTGCTGCGCCGCCCGGCGGCAGGCAACCCATCGTACGTCAGCTGGGCAGGAGTGCGAAGGGTTGCCTACCGCCAGGCGCGTCACCGTTCCGGGACTCTCTTGGTGCCTCCCACCGCGCCGTCCCAAGTTCCACTTCGTCGGGGCGCTACCATGGGGTGCCACCACGGGGCGTTACCATAGGGTGCTACCACGGGATGCTACCACGGGATGCTACCACGGGGTGCTCCCAGGGTACGGGGATCCCGGGGGGTGGCTCCGCTATGAATCACGGCCAAGTGGCAGCCGGGGGGCGGGCCTGGCGGGCCGTGGGCGGCGGGGGCCGCGGGGGAAGGCCGGGGGTGGCCGGGGGCTGTGTGCTGTCCAGCCCACGCTGTAGCGGTATAGGGTTCTCGTGTGCAAGCGAAGGGCTGGGGACGGCCCGGCCGGGGCGGGCTAGACGGGCCTGGTCGGGCCTGGTGGTGGGCCACCCATCTCACCCCAAGTCGCGTCCGAGCTACACCAACAGCAAACATGCCCCCTCCCTTCCCCCCCCCCCCCCCCCCCGCCATCCGAGTCGGGTTCGCAACAACGGGTTCGGGCCCCCGGCCGCCCCCGGCCGCCCCCGGCCGCCCCCGGCCCACGCAGCCCAGATTCCTACTTTTCAGTCGCACTGGTTTGTGGCGGCGGTTTGACGAAGGGCGGTGGTGGTGTCACCCGGTCGGGGGGGGGGGGATTCAGATACAGCGCAGCGGGGGTGAAGACGGGCATGGCATAGGCGAGCGAGGAAGGGCGTCGTTGTAAATTACGGCTAACACGACGGTGGTGTTGTCCTTGTCGCACCGCCACGCTGTCGCCACGCTCGCCACGCTGTGGCCGCGCCCAGAGCTAGGACGGGGGCGGCCAGCGTCAGCAGGGCGATTTCGAACAGCGGTTTCGTCGCTCTGTCTCTCTCGCACTCACAGGGCGTTCCGTGCGGGGCGAGAGAGACAGAGCGACGAAAACGACTCTCGGAATCAGTCTGCAGCTCCGTGGTTGTCGTCGTGGGTGTCGTGGGCTTCCCTGGCCGGGCGGCACCCTACTGCGCCGCTCACCACTTCGGCAGTCCGTCTTCGGAACGCGACTTTCGCCCGCCATCGGTATGTTCCGTGCTCCGCGACCTGCTGGCTGGTCGCTGTCTCCTGTCTCTGTCGCACCCCGACGGTAGTACGCCCTGCGAGCGAGGGAGAGAGCGGCCAGAGCAGTGTTCGGACGGACTCAACCTGCAGACTGATTCCGAGAGTCGTTTTCGTAGCTTTGTCTCTCTCACACCTGTACGGGACGCCCCATGAGTGCGAGAGAGACGGAGCGACGAAAACGACTCTCGGAATCAGTCTGCGGGCCGAGGCGCGCCCCTTTCCCACCGCCATCGTGCTGCCCGGCTCCACTCCACGCAGTGCAGCAGCGCAGCGCAGTGTGTCAGTGGTGTGAGCGTCGCCCATCTTTGGCGTGCTGTGTGATTCGGGCCGCCGACAGGAAGTGCGTGTCTCTCAAGTCTCGTCGTTCCGCGGGTCGTGCGTGCGTGCGTGCGTTCGGGCCAACGACTCAAGCGATCCCCCCGCGCCCGGACACTGGACGTAACGTTCTCGTGGATGTCGCATTTTTTCCGTCCCTCCAATTGCCCGCCGCTTTTTCCCCGCCTCGGCCTCTACTCGCTGTCTCTTTCTCTCCGTCTCCCTCGTCCGCGCAGCGGGCAGTGATTGATTCAAGAGTCAATCGCACATTGAGCCCGGGCCGTGGCACCGCGGGGGTGGGGGCTGCTCCCGTCTAGAGTCCTGGAACCCCAGAAGTCGAGGACTCTGCTGCCGGCGCTCTCCAGGTCGCCAAGGCCTTGGCCAAGGCCCTGGCCAAGGCCCTCCTCGAGGAAGAGGATCGGCGATGGCTTCCCTTGGACCTCGGATCCATCCCTGAGGCCCCTGGCTCCACTCCTGGCTCCACCCCAAGGACTCCACCGTCCGCCGGACCCACCCTCGGCCAGATGGCGCGCTGCTCTGCCCGCGCCGTGGCCCTGCTGGTCCTGGTGGTGCTGTCCGTGCTGGTGCCCCCTGGCAGCACATGCTTCCACTCCCTGAGGAGGCCTCCGTACGAGACCTATTGGTACGGCATCCGCTCCAGTGTGCAAGCAGCACAGGCCCAGAGATGCTCTGTGCACAGTTCAGTGCGGAAAAGGCAGAGTTTAACAGTGTTTCCTCTGTTGCAGGCTGGGGACATACTATGAAAGCCGCTTCCTGAGCCTGACCTGTTTTGCTCTGAGAGGTTTCCGATGGACCCTCAAGTTCATAAAAGTTACTTATGAGAGTTGGCACGTAGAGATGGAGTATGCCAGATGCATATCGGACACGTACGGAATGAACATTCCCTTCATGACACCGCCGTGGGGAAAAAATGCTAGACTACTAATGAATGAGAGTGAAGAGTCCGCATTTCAGCGAATGGAATCCAGACAATCTTTCCAAGAATTACCGCTGGGGGTGCCTCTAACCGATCGTGTTGACAAGTTGAAGAAAAGTGATATGAAAGTCAGTTATACTGTGCATAGATGGGATGATAAGAATAATATCAAAGAAATTATGACATCTCTGCAGCCAATACTGGGGAATAATAAACTGTCAGAGATAAACTTTCTCACTACAAATGAGAAGGAGTCCATGAAGGAGATAATGAGGGTTGCACAGTCCTTGTACAAAATAATGTTATCCGTTTACAGTGAGTTTGAAGCTTTATTTTCACGGACGTTAGGAAATGGTATATTTTCATGTACAAAAAAGTATGTAAAACATGCCTTTTGGAGATGGATTGACTCAGCTCCATTCCTTAGGTGATACCAAAACTAAACAAATACGGATACTAGTCATTGCTTTCAAAAGTCAAGTAAAACTTTAACGAGTAGAAAAAAAAAAATTCTGTAGTACAATGGCCTGCCTCAACATATTTATAACATTATTATAAAATAAAATGATTCTTTACATCCATTTTGTGCAACTCTTAATTTGACGTAAGTCACACTAATTTGAAAGACTCTTAACATTAAAAAATAACATACTAAACAACAACATCAAATAGATCCAAACTTCTCCAGAAGAAAGCGGCAATCCTAGAAGTCAAAGGTAAGGTTTTACCAGCACCACAAGGTTGTCACTTCAGATTGCAAACCTATCACAATGCCTATTGCTAAAGTTGCAGCAGTCTTACCATAACTTTACACAAGAGATCACAATCTTCCAACAAGAAAGAAATAGGCAGTAGTTGAATTAATTTAAAATTTACAAAGAACATTTTCTAGCTGTTTGGATGAAACAACCATCCAACGAATGAAAACCAGCCAAGCCCACATTATCCCTTAATAAATACCCTAATTTGTGAGCAAAAGCCACGCAACACATCATCACAGACAAACCAACAAGCAATGTGTACCTTCAGCATCAAAAGAGATAAAGAGGCCTATCTGGCCACTTAATATAAAGAATTAACATTTTCTGATGCTGATGATACACTGTTCAATCAAATTGAACTCTGAAAATTCTGATAGTCTTTGACAAAAAATTAACATTCAAAACAGGAGTAAAACTTGTAATAAAAAGAAAGCAATGTTTTTGACAGCATTAGAATGTACAGGAAAAGACATTTCCAAAACCGTTGCTTCACACAAGGAAACAAAGAGAAAAAATTATTGGTGGTCAAAAAAAATAAAACCTTCTAATCTTTTGTTCCCAGTCTATGCTGCCGGAAATAGTTGGGTGCAACTTCATTCAAAAGTTCTGGATCAACAATTGACAGTTGACGGATATAAGCTTGGGAAGTGTGCACAACTTCTGAGAACAAGATGTAGTGAGGCAATGTTCTGTGAAGAACTGATGAAGGATGGATTCTTACTCTCTGTTTTGATTCCACCTGAAAAGGAAGAAAGATTTATAGTTATTCTGAAGGCAGGTTTTAACCACAGGCTTCTCCACGCTTAATGAGCCAACCCAGTACAAAACTTACTAGAATGTACTTTTTCTCTCTTTGAAGTTCAGCAACATTCATGAAATACCCAGATATCAAACATTTTCGAACCAGCTCAGTATTTTGTCCACATGAACTCAAAGGAATTTTATTCTGTTCACATATTTGAGCCAGTTGTTTTCGGACATCTGAAGCAAATACTAAATTTCTATAGTTCAAATAATTCTCTGCACAAGTTTTCTGAAAACAATAGAAAACTCTTTAGTAACTGACTAAAACCACCATCTCTTTTGTTGTTAAAGTTGTTAAAGACTAAAATAATACCTTTTGTGTTTTGAATGAGTTAAATGCATGGTATACGTTAAGCAGGGTAATGTGGTCTCCTTCAGAGGAGAAAAACTTCTTATGACGCTCTGTTGCTTCTTCTCGATTATTCAATGAGTTTAAGAAGACTGATTCTCCAGACAATAAAGCCACTATAGTTAAAATCTCTTCACTGAAATTTAAAAAAAGAAAAAAAAAGGTGAACATTACTAGACACTGCTAAAACCACAAACCAGGCCCAAATCTTAAAATAACCAACACAAACTTACGTGCAGTTGTATGTCTTAGAGGAAATCAGAATTTTACTCAACCGTGGGTCCAAAGGAAATTGTGCCATTTTAGAGCCCAGAGATGTGAGCTTTCTAGTTTCTTGTGATTCTATTGCACCCAACATTTTCAGCTGGCTAACAGCTGCATCAAGAGCCTGAATGTTTTATTTCAAGAAATAAAAATAACAAGATTCTAAAAATGAATTCAACAATACCCAGGCAAGTTTCTTAAAAAAAAAAAAAAAATCCTACCTCTTGAGAAGGTTTATCCATGAAGTCGAAGTCATAAGCATCAACACCAAGATGGAGTAGTTGCAACATCACACTGGCTAGATTGCACCGTAGAATTTCTGGTGTTGTGAATTTGGGTAGCTCATTGAATTGCTGTAAGATTCAAGATGATATTGGTAACTCATTGAAAGCGGGTTGGAAAATCAAATTTGGTTACCGCACACTCACCTCTTTAGTAAATACTCTATAGCATGTTCCAGCAGACTCTCTACCAGCTCTGCCAGTTCTTTGCCAAGACTGTTCTTGAGAAACCTTCTGGACTTTCAATAAATCGAGACCAGTATTTGGTTGGTATACCCTAGAACAGATGGTTTCAAAAATTGTACAAAATGTAGGACTACAATTTACAATGACTTACTCGTTAGAACTTAGGAAGAGGAGAAATTACCTTGCTTTCACATGTCCACTATCAATTACATATTTTATGCCCGGTATAGTAAGAGAAGTTTCAGCGACATTTGTACTTAGAATCACTTTCCGCTCATTAGGTGGAGTGGGTCGGAAAACATTTTCCATCATTTGCATGGGCATAGCAGAATATAAAGGTAAAGTCCTTAGGGTTTGTTTACACTCCTGGTGCCAAAGAAATATTTTCCATATAAATAATAAAAATTGTCAATGAAGATTTGCACACAGTACATAAGAAGAATAAAAATATTGATCCTACCTTTGCAGCAAGCCTTACTGTGTGTGCTACTCCTTCAATTTCATCTTGCCCCGTAAGAAATACCAATATATCTCTGCAAGATGATAAGGACAAACCTTTTTAGTTTTGAAAGATAAAGCAAGGAAGTGAAATCATTGGGAAACAAAGCTTACCCTGGTGGCCCATCAAGATGAATTTGAAATATAGTTGACAAGCAGCTCTGTATATAGTCATTCTGTGGCTGCTTTGCATTTAGTACTGTGACTGGATATTGCCTTCCTTCCAAATAAAGTACTTTGGCATTATTGAAGTACTTACTAAAGTGATCAACATCCATAGTTGCTGACATTATTATTACCTATAAAAATAAGCACTGGAATAAGAGTTTGGACTAAATAAGTTAATAATAAATGAAGGAAGATGTAAGAAGATAAGGACTCAGCACCTTCAGTGGGGACTTTGCATTCTCAGCACGCAACCTTTGAGCTTTTTTTACAATACCAAACAAAACATCGGTGTTAATGCTGCGTTCATGAGCTTCATCTAAAATTATAACTGTGTATTTCATGAGAAGTTCATCTGCAAAACAAGAAAAAGGTATGACATTAACTGAACAGAGATAAAAACCCAAAACCACAAAATCGGCTCACATCCTGAGCTAAAGAAATTAACAGACCTAGCAAAGCTTCTCGAAACAACATTCCGTCAGTCATGTACTTCAACTTTGTTTTTTCAGTTGTCACATCTTCAAATCGGATGGTATAGCCAACAGTATCTCCTATTGGAACATTCATTTCTTTGGCCACTCTTTTAGAAAGTGAAACGGCTGCTACTCGTCGAGGCTGAGTAAAAATAGAGATATGAACATTTCTTAAGAAAACTTAAAAAGAGACACAGGAATCAGATAAAATAAATAAAAAGAGGAAATATTACCTGGGTGATAGCAATGATTCCATCCTTTCCAAGTTTGGATTCATGAATGAATTGAGGAATTTGAGTTGTTTTACCACAACCTGTTTCACCAATAACTATGAGAGTGTCATTTTTCTGAATCTCTTCCACTAGCCTGAAGAAAAATAAAAAGGCAAAAAAGTTATTACAGCTTCAACAACAAACATTCCATTGGCCGAGTAGAATTCAACCCACCTAGGTCGAACTGCAAAAATTGGCAGCTTTTTGCGTTCATCTTGCATGAAGCCAGGACGCACAAGATTTGGCTTCTGTTGAGAGCCATCCGCCGAAATAAGCCCGGGCATGTTTTCACGCTTTTGCTTTTTGGGCGAGATGAAATCGCTGACATTTTGGTGAAAGTTGACCACTGCAGGTCTCTTCTTTTTGATAAATGGATTTGGAGAATTCATCATCTTCATGTCAGCCATGGCACACAGTTCAAGAATCTGGCTTGATAGAAAGGAAAAACCGTTAAATTGGTGGCTAAATGTAAGATACATCAAAACAACTTGTTCGCATGTATGTGGTCACGTTACACTAGGGTTAGGAAATGTCACTCATGTCACAAACTCAAAACGTTGTTTTCAACCTGAATTTTTGCAAATGACAATGGTACAAAGAAAATGAGTCGTTCTTCCAAAATTTCTACGGCATATGGTTGACAAATACCTCCTAAAATAAGTGGGAGCGGTCACGAAATCTTGCACGGATATGAAAACACATGGGGGGTACGGAGCAAAGCAAAACAACAACAGCAACAAATAGTATGGCTATACGCACGATCTCCGCTACTGGTTGTTGGTTGTTTACAGTAATGCGTGTTATGCGCAGTTGCGCGCTTTCCTTCGAAGACCGTTGAAGCTCGCGCCTGTTTTGCAAAAGCTCTTGGAGTCCTCAGAATTTTACTGTTATTGGTTGATTTAAAACTGATCGGATAGAAATTACTTCCAAAATACCGTAACTAATCTTCTGCCTTTGTAATTTTGGTGAAATATCTTCGAATGGTTTGGGGCACAAGAAATGTACACGGTATGATAGTGTCAACATAACCATGTCTACAGTCAGGAGGGCTATCACTTCTATTAAAAATCTCAATGGTAAGAGATTTACTCAAGTCTTCTACAACTAACATTCGGTGACAAGCGTCTAAATTTCATAAATTCTATTTCAGGCAAATTATCTGGGAATATTTACGAACATGCTCTAACCCAGCTACAGTCAGAAAGTGGTTTGTCAAATGACAACATCAAAACTTTGTTGTCGACATTGACAGATGACAAACTTTTGAAATGCCGTAAGTGGACCATGATTCATTCTGTTTTTCAAGTCATGTTGGAGTATCTTAAGCACGTCTCACATTTTTGAATCTGTTCTAGGAGCAACAAGTTTTCGGGATGTGTTGTTTTGCTGCATTCCTGAGAGTTCTATAAGCGGGGACGTTCTGGAAATTGGCTTGTTTTGGATGTTTGCCAATATTAAAAATGAATTTGTTGTTTCATCCAAGCTTAATGCTGTGTTGGATTGGGTTTCAGGTTCGGCTACTTCTTTGGAAGCATTTGTAGTTCATTATGCCATTGTTCTATCTAAAGTATGTTAGTTTTATTTTCTCTATTTTCTCTATTTCATCAGGACTTCTTGAGTTTGATCTTATTGATAAAACTGACATTGATGGTTACTATGAAATGTATTATGGAATGCTGCAAAGGGAGCAATGTGTAAGTTTCCTAGTCAAGTGCTCTTCAGCATATTAGTCTGTTTATCAGGCTGTCTTTCTTCACACCATTTAAATGTATTTTTCAGCAAAGTTCTGCCTGTAAACTGATCCACATGCTCACTCGCCCAGATGATGTTTACCGTGGGCGTGTGGAAAATATCATCAAATTATACAAAAAAGGTGGAGGCAGAGGGAAACATCTAGCTTATCTTATTGAGTGAGTAATACAGAGTGTGCCATTGGCAACAGTGTTGCATTATTTGGAGCTATTGTGCATAGTGTGATACTGCTCAAATTGTTCTCTTTCTGACTTAACACCTTTGTCTCTATTATTTCAGACTGTTCCGAACATATAAACCAGAACTTGTACCAGAAAATGTAAAATCTTTCAGCCGCGAAGCTGCTTTCAAAAAATTACTGCCAGGATTTAAACATATGCTGGAATCAGCTCATGAACGGCTGCAATCCGAAAACAATCATTTACGTTCTAAGAACAAAGGATTAGACTGGACTGCCGTTACTTTTAATAAAGTAAGTCTAAGATCTCAGCTTCTTTTGTTGTATTTATAATCTTCAGTATGGGGTTTTTATTTTGTGCTTCCCTTCCATTTTCTTTCAATTTCTAGAACAGAACTGCCATGCCTCTAATTCCCACTGCCATGTATGTCCACCTGGGTTCAGAACTGTATCGAGAAAAGAGACGCAAAGTTTTGGAATTTTTGGAGTGAGTGCAGGTTTTAAATTTTGAACTCAATTTTTGGGTAATTTATTTTTCTGTTTAATGTTTTCCTTTTTTTGTTATCTTTTTGCAGCAAGATATCCCTTGCTAGCTTTCATCTAACATGTGAACTACCCACCTCCATTTTGTCACTAATGCTGAATGAAGGTGGAATGCATTTTTTAGTTAATCATAACTCTGATGTCCATGCCCGATTCTCATCAGTTCTCTACTCCTGCTTACACTCAGGTAGGTTCTTTCTATTCTGTTTAATTAAAACTAAAAATATTTCCCTATTTTCTATATCTGTGTTGCAATTATCAAACTTTGTTGTAGTGTTTATACAAAACAACAAAAAAGTCTCTTATCAAGAGAGAGAACACTTTCTGAAACAATTGGTTGTTTTGGAAGATTATATGCAGCAAGGAATACCTGTTGTTTCTCGATTTCTTGCTTTTTACATAGTTTCATGGAATGGGCAAGATCATCAAAAATATATTTATCGACTACTTGAAAGAATAACATTGGTCAACTTTGCAGGTGAGTCTCTAACTGTGAGAACATTGCCACAAATTCCTTGTCTAACTACACCCAATGTGTTGCATGCAATTTTTCAGAATTTAATGACTGTATCCTTACACACCTGTACACCCTTTTCTTGTCTGGAGACATCAATGAAAAGACTATCATTGTCAAAACTCTGTCAGAGCTTCTACTCAATGTGGTATGTTTCCAAAATACATAGGATAAAAGATAAAACAACACTTATGTATTAATAAACATTAATAACTTGGCTTTTTAATGTACCTTTCTAGTATGTGAAGTGGTTAAAAAAGCGCCCCAGAGAGCATCAGTTTCTTGGAGAGAAATGGGAATGGGAAACCGAATTTGAGAATGTAGTTCCCCAACTCATCTCAGTTGTCACAAACTTTTGTGAGTTGGGTCTCCTAATAACGTCTAGTGACCCATTAATGCTTCATGCTACCCTATGCTTCTTTGAAATGGTAAGAACAATGTTTCACTGAGGATGGATTCAACAAAGAGGGGAGACACATAAATGAATGAAATCAAGTATTAATAGTATATTTTGTTTAGTTGGCAGATTTGCAACTTGAATCCAAGCATAAGCTAACAATTATTCCACCGTCTATCTTTTACCGCTGTCTCTTTTCATTGGACTTTTGCTCTCTGGTGAGAGGTTGTGATCTGCTGTTGAGGTGAGTCTTATGTTTTACACTTCTTTGACAGTGATTGTGATTCTCACCTAACTTGCTTTCTGTAATTAAATTTTGATTTCTGGAACAGATACAAAGACACCTCAGAAGATCTGGGTCCAAGCGGTCTTGAAAATGTTTCTTTGCTCAACAAGTATGCCTGTGATGTGTGGAACTGTCTGGTTACCAAAAAGGCAAGTTAACTTTGGTTACCTTAACCCCCCCACCTCTTTTTAATTTTTGAAGAGCCTTTGTTTTCTCATATGTACTTTCATGTTTCTTTCACAGGGATTTTCCAAGGCCCACCAGGGCTGCATTTTGGTGAAACATAAAAAACTGAAGGAGCTACTGCCTGCACATGCAGATTCAGTCTTCAGCCTAGAATATCACCCAGTCATGTTAGGATATGCACAACATTTGCAAGAAGTTGATGGCTCATCAGATGCTGTGCTTCAAGGGGAGGTAAGGTTTCTTTGTTAGTGATATAAAGTTAACCCACTGCTGTTGTATGCATTAATTCTGGTTGAACAATTTTTATTTCTAGCTTATAAAAGATGCCTTGATGCAGTCTTTTCCTGAACTTGGAGGCTGCTTAGCTGCATTGGAAAATAAATACTCTGAATATCATAGTGGATCTTCCTGAGTTGTACGTTTATTCACATTTGCTAATATTTATAATCAAAGAGCTAACACAGATTGACCATGTAAAAACTAAAAATAATAAAAGTATTTATAAAAGTATATATAATGTCACATGAAATAAAATTTTTGTTGAAAGGACTCGCCTATACTCCAATTCTTAACTAAACCAAGTCACGTAATCTTACTAGAGTGGGGTCATGAGGATTTCTTGATATTAGGTTACATCGCAATAAAAATTCCACGTCATCCGGTGACGCTTCGTCAATGCAAATATAAGGATCATTTCCTGGCTGGGATGCCTTGAGTGCCTCCTGAGAATAGAAAGAGTACATGTTTAAGATAGAACTTTGTGTGCTAAATCTCATAACATTAGGAGTCACTTACCGACAGGATATCTTGAATATATGAATCTGGGCACAATTCTGCAGTCACATAACGCTACAAAAACAAAAAAGTTTATTCAAACCAGACTGCACCATAGTATTCCACTTGGGGAAAGTTAATGTAACACACATACTGTATCTTTCACAATCCGAGCTCTGTGCTCTTTAATTCTCTTTCCTATCTCTTCAAGCTTAAATTTTTTTTTCATTTCGCCTGATGTAGTTCGAGTAGTTACAATCCTCTCAAGTTCTTCTGTCTTACGTTCCAACCTGCAAAGGAACAGGGATACAAAGAATGTGGTATGAGGGTGGTATGTAGTATGTGGGTGAGGTTGTAAATTAAATAACTTACTCTTTGTTAACATCCTGAAGTTGAGCAAGTTGAGAAGTCATGCGTTCAATGCTCTCCCTATCCTTCTTCACCCTGTCTAGTAATTTAGATCTCAATTCAAGGGATACATGGCCACTTTGAAGTGGCTCACCTGTATAAAATAATGCATCAAGTAAGACCAAAAGTCTAAACCCAACAGTTACATAAAGAATAAATGGTATTTTGACAAACCAAGTGGTGCCATATCTTCAACACTTTTGCAAAGTCCTTCCATCATGCTCTTCTTTGATCTTGTCTGAACATCACTTTGATTGCTGTTCATCCTTTTGAGACTTTTGAGAAGAGCTCCCCAGGACTGCCTCGGCTGATTTTCATTAGCATGACTTCTTGCATTTTCTACAAAACCTTCAGCTTCACCTATGAACAAATCAAGAACGAAAAAACAACAAATAGCATGAAAATCACGCAGAAAAAAAGACATAGCTACACGGGATCATTAGAGGAAAGGATCATTCACTTACTTAAATCAGCCAAAAGTAAAATGTAAATTTCTGACATAGTAGGTAGCTGTTCATTGTCCATCTGTGGGTTGACAGCGTCTTCTGAGCCCTGTAAACAAAGCCCATGATGTCATGGGACAAATTTGTTACTCTAGAAATCTACTACAAGAATATTATGAGAAACGACGGTTCAGTTGATCAAAATCACCGCCTCCGATACAAAATAGTGGAAAATATAACGCATCGAATAGGTTAGGAGACAACGTAAACAAGGACTCTTGGCCTACCGTGTCATTCATGTTTACAGGTAAGTTACGGAATGCACGTAACTGTCTCAATTATTTCAAAAACACAAACTAGACACTGGCAATGGCCCTGGCTTAGAAGAGCAGAGAAAAGTAACAGCAGCTTGTGTGACTTGGAAACAAATAAATAATTCTTTGCATTCGAGAGAGAGTTGGCGCCATCCAGTGCTGCCAATTGCCAATGCCACCAACGTAAATCACGAAAGATCCCCAGTCCCCTCTTGGAAGATAGCTTGTATTTTATGATGTCATGGGTCGAATAAGAGGCAAAAGCATCGAAACCTGGTTGAAATTTCCTAATTTTGTTTATTAATATCATTATTTCACACGAAATAACATAGAGGGAGAAAAAGCTTTGAAATTAATTTGTACAATAAATACTCCTGTTTAAATTCTGATATTTGCCATAATTATACAGATGTCTATGTACATGGGGTGCAGCACTAGAATTCCAGGTGCAACAGAAATCTTCCTAGACATGAATGCTAAAGATTAAATCTAATTGCTGGCTGAAGCAGCCTTTTTCTCTTCGAATTGCTTCATTCTGTCTTCAATCACAGGCCTAAAGTGACGAATAAGTCCCTGCAAAAAAAAAAACAAAAAAATAAAGTTTTGTGTAAACACACAGTGACCTCAAGGAGCAGAAAGTTACATAACTACAAAACACTTGACAAAAATGAAACACCTACCTGAACAGGCCAGGCTGCACCATCTCCCAAAGCACAGATTGTGTGACCTTCAATCTGCTTGCTCAACTCCCACAGCATGTCTATTTCAGATGGCTGAGCATTACCAGTGACAAATCGGTGAATAATTTTGTTCATCCAATTGATTCCCTCACGGCAGGGAGTGCACTGACCACATGACTCATGCTTGTAAAATTCAATAAGTCGAGCAATCGCCTTGATAACATCCGTTTGTTTATTCATAACAATTATGGCTGCAGTTCCCAAAGATGTTTGAGCAGCCACTAGACCGTCGAAGTCCATCATAACATCCTCACAGACACTGAAACCATATCATTTTAGAATGGAATCCAACCAATAAGATATTTCTCGGATAATAATGAGAAGCTGGAACTCACTGTTTAGGAATGAGAGGAGTCGATGAGCCACCCGGAATAATGGCAAGTAAGTTGTCCCATCCTCCAGTCACGTCTCCTGCGTGAATCTGAATCAGCTCCTTCAGGGGAATGGACATTTCCTCCTCCACAGTGCAAGGCCTATTTACATGTCCAGAGATGTTGAAAAGCTTCGTTCCAGAATTACGAGACCTTCCAAAACTGGCAAACCATACGCCACCTCGCCTACAAATGCTCTGAAAGTACAGAAAACAAGATGCAATAAAAATGTATTCCTTAACTCATAATGTCATTTCTAATGGAGTGAGTCTGGTTTACCGGTGCAACAGCCACAGTTTCCACGTTAGAGACAGTTGTGGGGCACCCAAACACTCCCACATCAGCTGGGAATGGAGGCTTCAGGCGAGGTTTCCCCTGTTTGCCCTCAATGGATTCAATGAGAGCTGTTTCCTCACCACAGATGTATGCTCCAGCACCACGGTGCATGAACACATCAAAATCGTATCCAGAACCACAGGCATTCTTTCCCAAGAAACCAGCCTGGTATGCCTAGGGTACACAAAATGTGCCAACCGTTAAAAAGACATTACAAGAAATTTTCTTCAGATGTACATATAGTTAAATATGATCAATTACCTCACTAATTGCTACTTGCATGTTGGAGGCTTCATTGTAGAACTCTCCTCTTATATAAATGTAAGCAGCCTTGGCACCCATGGCCCTTCCTGCCACCAAACAGCCCTCAACCAGCTTGTGTGGGTCATGCCTCATGATCTCTCGGTCCTTGCAGGTACCAGGCTCACCTTCATCGGCATTCACCACCAGATATTTGGGCCTGGACAGATTTCATGAAGTTGTCAGAACATATTAATTTAGTAGAGTAGAATCTTATACCTTTGGTGCCAAAATAAAGTGGCACACACCTTCCATCTGACGGCTTATTCATGAAGCTCCATTTCATTCCTGTGGGGAAACCAGCTCCTCCACGGCCACGGAGACCGGATGTTTTCATCTCATCTTTAAAGTAAAACGACAAAAATTAGTAGAACTAACATAAAGATTAAGAAAGTGGGTAAGTACATTTAAAATATTTACTCAGAATCCAGTCTGTTCCTTTCAGCAAAATTTCCTTGGTTTTGTACCAATCACCACGCTTCATGGCTCCCTTGAGGCGCCAGTCATGGCGACCATATAAATTGGTGAAAATGCGATCTTCATCGCTGAGAGGACCAAACTTGGTCTGCAATAAGATTAAAATAAGATCAATTTCATAAAGCGAAAAAATAAGGCTTGGATACTCATATAACTTAATTTTCTTTTCAGTTTAACACACCTTAGTTTGAGCTGGAGGTTGGCCAGTGTTGTGGCGAACTTGCACTGTCGCAAGCTGGGTGAGTGGACCTATAGGTAGATAGACATAGGGCAAAAACTTTAAAATCCAAGTAAAAAAGCAAATTACTATTGAGGTTTTTCACAAATTGTGCAATAGTCCCATTAATCATAAAGAGAAAGTATATAGACGGATACAAGAAGAAGATATGCTAAAATTGAGGCTGCTTGACAATGTGCAACATAAGAAATGTATTGAAATTGATGTTTGAAAGAACGCACTTGGATCTGGTAGGATCAACTCAATCTACCTCACTAGCAAGATGGAAATGATTCAAGCGTGCGCAAGCGCAACCATACGCAAATAAATGATTAAGAATTGAATGCAAAATCGTTTCTTAGTTCTAGCCGTAGTGAGACGTGAATAATACTCGTTTTAAATCTAAAACGCAATGAGATAATTACGTAACTAAGGTTAGGGTTCGAAAATTTCACAACAAAAGCATTGACAGTAAGGAACATCAGCGTGAAACACTCCAGGAGAGGTCAAAACAAAACAGGACGATTTTAACGACACTTCTTACCAAAATTGCCCTTGGGAAAGCAATTCAGGCGACTCAGCGGACCAGCCATTTTCGCGAAGTTGTACAGCAGCTGATGCCCGTCGACTGACGACAAATGTCGTTTCTTGGTATTTTTGTTTTTCGCACCTCCTTACCAAACTTGGAAACCGAGTGTCTCCATGCTGGAAAGAACTTTTCCTGTTTCATTTGACTTTGCTGGCTGTGACTGATTTTTTTTCAAGAGTGAATAAATCATAATTTTACTAAGCAAGTAACTCAGTCCTTGTTGGCAAATAAAACATTGCCGGTGATACTTTGAATTGGGATGGAAATTTCTTCGGGTTAGGTTGACAGAATTGTAACTGTCGGCTGCTAGGACAAGACAAAGGACAAACGGAAAACAACAACAACTGATGCGGCTGCTGCTGCAGTTGTGGAGCAGAAGCTCAATCAACGTGGTCCTGTAGTGGAAATGTTGGCTGAGAAATAAGCGTGTATCAAGAACATGGAGTCCAAGAAAATCGAGTATTTAGTCGTTGATACCGGTGCTTTTCTGAAGGATGCTGCCATCCAGGTAAATTTACTTACTGTCTAGAAATAAGGGGATTTATGTCACAGTGCGCACGTGTGCTCATCTTGGAAGGTTATGGGGTATTCTATATATGATTGGTAGCTTCAAGTGATCAAATTATTTTTATTTTTCAGGACCTTGGTGAAAATGTGATAACGTGTCAAGAAGTTATTAATGAAGTGACAAACTCAAGACAACTCCGCAGATTAGTAGTTCTCCCATATGAACTCCAAGTGAAGGATGTATTTCCTGAAAATGTCCACTTTGGTAAGTTCATTTGGTTCCTACTTTTGTCTTTCTATCTCTTGATCTTATCAATGAACTTTTTTACCTGTCTTTCAGTCACTGAGTTCTCTAAGAAAACTGGTGATTACTGCAGCTTGTCAGCCACAGACATAAAGGTTATTGCATTAACTTATCAATTAGAGAAACAGATAGTTGGTAGCGATCATTTGAAAAGTGCTCCGGAAACCCAAAGAACTATCACCTTTCAAAATCGTCCTACTGTCGATCTCAAAGACATTGCAGGATTTTACATTCCTGCTTCTGCGGTACGTGTAAGATTTTCTCCTTTTCAACCTTTTCTGCAAGACAGTTCCAAAAGTTTGCAATTAATTATTATTTACACAGGGAAATGTGAAAGGGGAAAATGAAGATGGAGAATGTTCAGCTGCACTAAGTGAAAAGTTCTCCAACTTACAATGCACTGAGATTTCGGGAGACAATGACAAAGAAATCATTGATTCAGATACTTCAGAATGTCCTGAAGAAGATGACAGCAAGGTTGAAAATGATCAGCTGTTAGAAGAGGTTGACCCTTCATCAGTGCTTGTCAAAATTGAGGAGCCGGGCTCACCCAAGCCTAAATCAGACAGTGCTCAAGAGTATGATGAGAGTGATGAGGGGGAGGAAAGCTGCGATAGTGAAGAAGATACTGACGATGATGGAGGTGCATGGATTACCCCAAGTAACTTGAGTCGAGCTAAGAAGCAGATGAATGCTGATGTTGAAGAAGAAAAATCTGTCAAAGTTGCCTGTATAACAACAGATTTTGCCATGCAGGTTTGTGTTTGATAGCTCTTTCTCCTTTTGAATTGAATAGTTTATGGCAATCAGACTATATTTTTGTATTTTCTCACACTAATCATGTTTTCTGTTCTCTTGCAGAATGTTTTGAAGCAGATTGGGTTAAATATTGCATCAGTGGATGGTCGCGTCATAAAACAGCTCAGGACATTTATTCTTCGCTGCTATGGGTGCTTTAAAACTACAAGTATCATGACAAAAGTGTTCTGTCCTCACTGTGGGCACTCAACACTCAAGAGAGTAGCCGTTTCTGTCGAACCTGATGGTTCTCAGAAGATCCATATCAATTTTAAGAAACCCCTTAGTACCAAAGGGAAAAAGGTTAGTTCTAAGTTTTTAATTGACTGATTTCTGCATTAATACAAGGTTTAAGAGTTAATTTTTGAGCTAACCTTTGATTGCAGTATTCATTGCCAACATTTCAAGGAGGAAAGCATTCCAACAACCCAATTATCTTTGCTGATCAACCAATGCCTGATCAGAGACCAACCCGTGTTGCCAAAACCAAGACTAACATCCTTGATGCTGATTATATTCCAGGTGTGAACTTAAACAAATGTTTTTGAGAAGTTTATTTTCCATTAACATTTATTAATATGGTTTGTACCTTAAACAGGATTTTCTCCCTTCGCGCTGCGTGACACTACTTCCAAATCGGCCATGTTGGGTATCCGTGGCAACCAAGAAATGAAACATTGGATGCGGAGCAACCCAAATGGAAGAAGGAAAAAGAAGTAAATTTTGTATGTTATCTAAACTTTATACTGTTATTTAAGAATCTTAACTTTAAGTCAATTTATATTCAGTCCACAATAAATTAATGTGTGTCTGTACCTTGTGTTCTCTGAGTGAAACAATTTCATCATGCTTTTCAAAACCTATCTATTTTATTAGCTTGTTATTGCTGGAGTAAGAAGTCAACACAAATGCATTTTTAGGCTTCATGACAATAGTGTAACTGTTATCACCATCTGAATAGAAATTATGTGGCTTAAAGTTCCAACCAACTGGAACGTCTGAAAAGCCCTGAACATAGATGCTAATCCAGGGAATTGTGTCACGATCATTGAAATATTCCCTGCAATAAAATAGACATTAAACTATTGCGTTATCTTAAAAACTTCCTCTCATGGTGATAAATGACTTAAAATTTACTCACCTCAATGATTGAAACAGGCGATTTATTTGAAGTCTGGTAAAGAATCCTGTCCAGTTCAAGTAAGCCACTTGTCCACACTCAACAGTCTCTTCAGGGCCTTGATATGAACTTAAAAACTCATTTTCAGAACTGCTCAAAAGAAACAACCGTCATTAATAACTCTGTTCAAAACCTGCACTAAAGATTTTTTTTTAAGTCACCTTTTAGCATTGAGGCTAAAAGCACCTAGCCATTCCAGCATTTCTTCAATGGAGCACTGTTTGTCGGGTGGATAAAGAAGTGGAGTGGCCACATTGAAGTTCAGTCTCTGATAAAACTTTGGTTTACAAACTTCAATGTTGAGGCCTCTCTCTGATAAGTAGGAGGCAACAGAGGAGGGACAAATTTTTTCATCTGCAACAGAAATAAATTGATGAGAGGATGTATCAAAACATGGCAAGACAGCTCATAAATGTAAGGGCAAATGACCTTGGGGTTCCCACGACAAAATAACAGTAAAGGACTGGAGACAATTCTTCAGACAGTCATATGCTCGCTCATAGTTCTTCTTTCCTGGTTGGAAATGACTAGCAGTGATGTCCAGAACTACAACTGTTTTAAAAGACATCAACAAAGAAAAATAAAATTAAAAAAGGATTTAACAATTTGCACCATCAAATACAAAGGGATTTACAAATTCTTGGAATGTGGTAGGCAATAGCAGGATCAAGGGCAAAAGGAAAATATTAATGTTCAAACAGGCAATAAATGTACTTAGATATTTGTTTATAGAGACAACTGAGTTACAATCACATCCATATTTGTCATAAGTACAAAGGTACATTGATACATATGCATACATTAACTGTTAATCAGATCTACCTTGGCCCGGGCCTGGATGGTTCAGATCAACTTCACCCAGGAGGTGCTGGACCAACTTAATTAAGGTTTAAAGATCAGCCCGGCCTCCCTCTACAGACCTGGACCACACATTAGTCACACAGCAAGGCACTTGAAAAGTCATTTCCATTCATCACTCTACCACTTTTTGCTTAAAAGTAATATCACAACCAACTTAACAGAACAATCACATTCAACCTTCAGTTCAAACAAAATAACTTAAACATATAAAACAAATGGCAGAAGAAACAAAAAAAAAATCAGGCCAGTTGCATGAAGCTATGCTATCTACAACAAAAATGACAACTCACCATATTTCATCACAGATGCAAATTTGGTCAGTACAAGAAATATTACATGCAATGCTCATGACTTTTGACCTGAGACAAAAAAGCCGGAGCACTATCAGTCTGCAATCGTCCTATAAACTTTTAATTGATGATCCAGTTAAAACACAGCAAAATAAAATTAATTAGACAGAGAAAGCAGCAAGAGCAAAGCCTATGGTTAACTTATACCTGTAATCCAAAAATAAAGTTAGCCTGGCCCAAACTATTAAAACAAATAAGTATATACATTCCTTCTCAAGTAATACATTGGTACCAAAAAAAAATCAACAGCAAAAACAATTCAAAATGCTTGACAACACAACAGCAACAAAACAAAATAAAAAGTTCAAAAACTAAGGCGTATTTTAAAACAAAACAAATTACTGCTTTACAGCAACAACCCCAGAGCATCAAAGCAAGTCAAAAAGTTACATAAAGAATACAAAAGCTGAAACCTCTGTCTAGGAGGATGAAATAACCCCAGCAGTCTAATATGATAGGGTAGGACGGATGTCTAAATCTATGTTTTTCTCAAGAATTTCAGTACGGAAGGCAGCAAGTTCACGCTTTGATATACCTGCCCAGCTCTCTAGTTCAGATAGCACTCGTAAATTTTCACAGTGTGTCATTAGAAGTGCTACAGTATGCATACTAAGATCGTCACTGTATAGTATTCTTAGTTCTTCAAGTTTCTTCATTGGATTTACTGCAAGAACCTTAGCCATAATGGCATCTCCTATTCCAGTTGAAGATCCAAGCTGAATGAAACGGATATTGAAACAATTTGATAACAGAAACTCAAGGTGAGCTTGAGCACAATCTGCAATGCAAGTAACTTTTTCCAAATGTCTGAAAGGTGGTATTTGAAGGGTTCGTAAAGATAATGATGAATGGTCCATGAACTCGCAATTGTACAACACAAGTTTCTTCAGGACAGGGCAAAACTGGCTGATGTATATCAAGGCATTTAGATCAATTTCTTCAACATGCTCTAAGTGCAGCCATGTTAAATTGGATCCCTTCACTTCGAGCAGAGATTTAATATTATCAGAGAAAAAGTCACATGAAAGAAGTTTCAGCTCAGTCAGCTGTTGCAAGTGAGACAAGACATTCAAGTCGCTAATTCTTTCATCATGAAAGATTGAAACATGAGTCACATAAGGACACATCTCAATCAGTAGATAAAGGTGAGAAGTTGTAACATCACGACTTTGCAAATAGCGGAGCTTAAAGGGACCCTGAAATTTTGAACTTCCTCTAATTCGTTCCAGAATGTGACCAAATTCATCACAACGGCCTAAATCTTCAAGCTGTGGCAAACTGGAAAGAAGAATAGCGTACCCTTCAACAGTTACAGATGTTCGATATAAAAGTAACTGTTTCAGCTTCATGCAGTTTAACAATGAAGGCACACTTCGGTCTGTAACTGAGCGGGAGGATGTAACATCTAGTTTTTGCAACATAGTACAATTTTGTCCCACTACAGATAAGATATGATCAGTGCAGTCAAAGCAAAGACACAAAGAGACAAGATGTTTCATTTGCACCACACCACTGAGAATAGATTTCTCTATATCAGAAGTTTCCCAACCACCTGAACCAGATCCAAGATTGAGGACCTCCAAACCAGTCATTTTGTACAAATTTTGGTAGAGGATATTTCTCATTACTTTAGGCCACGCTGAAAAATCAATGCTTTTCAACTGAGGATGTATGGCTACAAGAGTCATTCTTACCACAACATTCATTCGGGCAACAAATATAGATATGGGAAGACAGTGATCAAAATAGGCCCGAGTTTCCACAATTAGCTCATTGACTGTCTCTAGAACAACTTGAGAGAGCTTGTCAAATAGATACCAAGGAACATTTCCAAATAGAGCTTCATTCAACCTTTCTAAACTACTCTGGAGCAAAATTGTTCCTGCCTCAGAAGTTTCATGAGGAGTATCAGCCACCGAATGTATCACATGCTGGCCCATAGTCAAGACAACACGGCGGATGCTTTTCATAGCAAGATCCTGAAGAGAACCAGGAGCCTTTTTGCCTGGCATGGTGAATGCTTTTATTTTATAGTGGAGTTGTGGTTTGAGCTGAAAGAGACAAGGGCCATGACAGATCATCAAAACCCTTCAAGAGATGGAACTGCTCCCCAAGATTCAGTTTAATGAGTTGAATTTAGTACAATTAATTAATGAACCAAAACGAGTAAGACCATGAGGGGCTGTCTTCATTGGGACAGTTTAGAGATTACAAAACCTGTGAATAGCCTTCCCATACATATACTTAATGAATCGTTAATGAATGACTCAGCTGTGATACTCACCAAATCTCAGGTGGTTCTTGTTTTTTGATGGAATAGCTTTACCCTCAAGGCCTAATTCTTGATAACTTTCTTTATCTAATGAAAGAATCAGCTTTCCATCAATAATGGACAAGCAATTGTCCAGATCAACACAGGAGTCAATGCTCAGTATGGAGAGATGACCTGAAACGACGTTAAAAAAAGCAATGTAGGAAACTAAATTCTCAAGGTTGACAAGGGGTTATTTAGGGAAAGTACATTGAATACTACAGATGAATGTTCCATCCTTACCACTTTTGACAAAGGCGTTAATGAATTCCTGATCGATGAATTCGTGTGCTGAAATGCTGTTTACTTTGTAGTATTCATTATCCGATGACAACGATTCTACAATATCATGAGGGACTTGAGGGGTGTCAGGAAGAACAACAGAAACCTGTAAAAACAAAATGAAAATATGAACTGGGACCACCTGCACTTCGTCTTCAATGCACTTAGTGTACTCAAAGTGACAAAACATGAGTGCATCGTTTATTCGTAATTATTGCACACACTTGTGCATGGTTCTAGATAATTATAACCTACAAAAAACAACAACATAGGATTAACAAACCAAGTGATTGAAGTGATGATTCTTGACCACACTATCAATATCAGCACACGAGTCAAGAGAACCTTCGCGGACTTTCAAACTATTTCTAGGAGGATCAAAAGCCCAAACTTCGGGGGCTAACATTTCGTTTTCTCCGCACTAGGAACGAATGCAACAACAACAACAACATTGCTTCATGTTGTTTGTTTACATTGTTCAAGAAATTTATAGAGGGCTCCGACAGACAGCTTAGCAAACCTGATCAATGTACCTTCCCCTTTCCATTTCAGATTTCATTGGGCTTTGTAGGCCCGCAATGAATTAACAGCTCATAAATTCATTCATCTTTTCAACAATAAACCTCTGTTTTAAAGTGTTATATCTTAACATCAGAAAATTTCTGATTTGTTTCATCTCTTAAGTTTGTACTTTCGTCGATGCAGACGACTCAACGAAAGACGAAATCACTGACCTGCCGAAACTGAAACGCTGAAACAGCGCTCTGCGTTTGATTCTTTAGCCACAGAGTAGTATTCAGATTTGTATTTTTACTCTTTTGTTACAAAAATGAGTGTTGTGAGTATCAAGGGAGTTGATATTCATTTGCATGAGCCTCTTAGACGTCAGCAGAGAGAGTTTATGGAAGTTTGCCTCGAGTGTTTTACTGAGGTGAGTACTTCTTTGTAACTGCTTTTATGAAAGTTTTGTGAAAAGTGCAATCAGTTTCACAGGTTTCACGTTATTGAAACAGTCACTCACTTGGATGCTGACAATTTCTGTATTTTCAGGGAAAGAATGGGATGCTGGAATCATCTGATTTGTCAGGGAGAGTAGCTGCATTGCTCTGCGCATCTTTAAGTTGGATTCTGCACTGCTTCAAAGGTAGCATGTCATAAAAATTCGTTTAAATTATCATTTTTTCAAAACTAACACTGTCAATTTCCTTTATTATATAGAAGGGCTGGGGGTTGCCAAGCATGTCCTTTACTTGTGTGGCACTCAACAGGAGCTGTCACGTGCGATTGAAGAGTTCAAGAAGTCCAAATATGCTTCTGTGCGGATGGTAGTAATTAACTGCACAGACGATTTTAAGGCACTCTTTGCACGTCCAAATTACAGCAATGATGACCAAGACAATGACAGAGGAAAGAAAACACCTGTTCCGAGTATTATTTTCTGTACTCAAGAGCTGTTCTTTCAAGAACTCACTGTAACAATCATTAGCGCTGCAAAATGTGACTTCCAGGTCTGTATGCATCACTTTATTTTATTTATTTGATCAAACAATTTGCTTATGTTTATTTCTGTTTTGTAGAACACAATAATATTGCTGGATGATGCCTCTCAAGTTGAAGAGGCATGCTGCTTGTCTTCCTCCCTGAGTCTATGTAAAGTAGATCGGCTGATTAAGCAGCTGCAGGTTTGATTGCTTAAATCTTTAATAGTATATCAGGTTGACTAATGCATTAATTGAAAATTTCCAGTATAATTGATGTTCTGATTTGTTTTGCAGGACTTCAAAGACTCCGAAGAAATAATTTCAAAATTGGATGGCATTCGAAAAGTTTTCCGTTGTATTTCTCCTCATAATGGCAACCCATATGATCCTGTGTTTACAGAAGCAGAAATAATGAATGTGTTTGAGAATTATAATGCCAATATTAATGAAGAGGATGCTTCATTTCTGAAAGAACTGAAAAATCTGGATTTTCAGGAGGTACTCCATTTCATGGCTCTCGTTAAAATTTTCACTTGCCAAGGAATCAAGACTGAAAATTACCCTCAAGCCATCAATATGTATGCAACCGAGACTTCTGCAAAATCAAAATTCAAAACGGGTCACCAAGAGACATGCCAGGTTGCCTGTAAAACTCTTCACTGTGTTTGCTGGGATTCATCATTTTTATTCAAGATCATAGCAGATATGAAGCCACATTCAATCCTTTTCTCAGGGACAACAATTTCACCTTTTAATCATTTCAAGGCTGAACTTGGTGTTCTTGAAGCAAAGGAGTTTGTTGGTAAATGTGTTATTGAGGACTACCAAGTAAGTCATTTGATGGAAATTCACATTGTGAGTGGGATTATTGAAGTCACATAATGTTCTTTTTGTTGATATTGAATTCAGCTCTTTGCAAGGATTGTGATGTGTGGTTCAGGTGGTCAATTTCTAGAATCAACAAACAGTGAATGGTATGGAATTCTGTTGCAGTGCACGATCAACTTTTTAAAAATATAAACTTGAAAATTCCCTGATTGTTTCTAATTTTCTTTTGAATTTTTTTTTTTTTAAATATTTTTAGTATGGATCCTGATTACAAAACCTGTGTGGGCAAAACCATCCTTGACGTGGCAAAAGTAACTCCAGCTGGCCAAGGCATGACAATTTATTTCAGCTCTGATAATTTGTTTGAGCAACTGAAAGAACACTGGCATAGAACTGTTATCAAAGGACAGTCCTTGTGGAACCTTATTAGGCAAGAAAAGGTCAGTTCCATTTGTTTGAATGAACTCTATGAAACTTGTTGAATACCCCAAGTCAGATAGATCATTCTTCTGCTCTGATGTTTCAGGAAATTTTATCTTATGCCAACAAAGATGACCTACGCCGGTTCAATGCAGACTCTGGTCTTAAAACAGGACATTGCATTTTTGCAGTACTACAAACAAATGTAAAAAACTTTCATAACTCCTTTCCTTTTGAATTTTCTTTGTGAATTTTAATTACAGTTCATTAATTTTTAGGATCTCATGGAACTGATAAATGTTTCCGTAAATCTGGATTGTCACCGCATTGTTATGTTCATTGGGGTGCCATTTCCATCTAAAGATGATCCAAAAGTCACCCTCAAGAAAAGGTTTATCAGTGAACAGTGTTTATTAAAAAAAAGTAAAATGGTAAGCCCAATAACACTTCAATATGCTTCTCATACTATTTTTTTTTTATTCATTGCATTGATATTTTGGTGTGGTATTAATATAATCTAATATTTTGTCTATATTTTTTTTTCTGTAGACAGTGTCACAGTTTACCACAAGGGAAACTTACAAGTCTGTGAGAAGAGTTGTGGATCACATTTTCGGTTCTATCTATGACTATGCCATGATCTTGTTGTGCGACTGTCAGTATGATAGGAGTGAATTGTCCCCTTGGATAAAGAGCAAAGTGCATCATGAAAAGCGATTTGCAGAAATGCTGCATGAAATTCATGATTTTTTCAAAACTATTCTGAAGAGGACCCAATCAATTATGGTAAGCATATCTTGATCTGAGGTACCGCACTTAAATAATGGGGTCAGAGTCTTTGTCAGTGTACTTGCATGCTGTTGAGAATTTTTTATATCTTACAAGTAATATTTCAGGCACCAGCAGAGAACCTTGAACAAAGAATTAGCCAGTTTGGAAATGTTAGGACGTGGGAGATAGAGAAAGTACAACTAGAAGTCAGAAAGTTAAGGAAGAAGAATAGAAGTCTTGAAGACTATGTGCAACGTCTCAAAAACTTATCAGAAGATTATGATAAAACGAATGAAGATTTGGAAAAGAAACTCAAAGACATGAATGTGGAAACCATCCAGATGCCACATTTCTCAGAAATGCAGTGGGAAGCTAGTGAAGTTGGTGGTGAGGGTGGTAAAGTGCTCAGCCCAGTGAACAGTCCCATAAAGTTGTTGATCTCCCCACGAAAGAGGCCTTATCCAGAAGATGTGAAGTAAAAATGTACTCAGTTATTAAACATGGTTTAACATTTATTCAAACAATTTTGTACAGTGGAGGGGATTATCTGTAGGTTAAGAACTGACATTAAACAGTGGTCCCTCACTGCACTTGTGATAAACAATGATTGCAGGCTAACCATACAAGAATTTATGAGATTCTTGCTGATACTCTTAAGAAGCCCTGCAAAATTATTTATCACTTACTATTTTCATTTTAAAAAATTAAAAAAAAAATTGCTGGACAATTTCTTACTTTATAGATTTATATCCGTATAACTCTTAACAGTCATTCAACACAGTCAACTCGACAGTTCATGCCAGGGCTGCATGTAATAATTAAGAAATCAAGATCAATTTCTATGAAGGCCTCACTTCAATCAATAATGTTAAATGGTACTATAGGCTGCTTTCATGAGAAGCTTGTACAATGTTGCTTAATTTGATATTTTGTTTGTACCCTGGACGATCAGTAAAACAGCACTGCAAATTTCAACAAGATGAAAGTCTACATGCATATTAAACGTAAAGGTGTTATGACTGCCCTTTTTTTTTTGTGTCCCATTGCTTCATGCAATGAAAAGCAAAGGCATCTCACTATCACTTAAACTTAGAGTGCATTGCACTCAGCACATACAAATCAGGCCTACAATGGATACAGGTGTTGAAGCTGAACACGTAGGTACAAAAACTGCCTCATATAAAACATCTCTTCTTTCCTAATATAAATACAGTAATAAAAGGACAGAAAGAATAACAACTAAGAAGTACCTAAACCATTGAACCCTGATTTGAGCCAATATCACCAGCATGCAATAAAAACATCTCACTTACACACCAGTAGCTACAAGACAGATCACATGATATAAAGCATAACAACCAAAGCAAAATAAGGCACCATGGTGTAAACTTATTAATATTAGAAAACCTATCTGATTATCAAGATGCACTATAGGACAAAGAAAACAACAACATTATGAAACAAATAGATAAAAAGCAATTGGAATCAATGGCAGCTCTGATTCCATTCTGGGCAATACTTCGGCAAATTATATAAGTTACTCAGCAGGTACTTTGTAAAAATATCATCAGCTCCAAAATAAGAAAAAAATGGCTGCAAAAGAACTTACCCACGAATACTTCCAAACATGGGCAATATTACAGCTTGTGCTGACAAAAAAAGCAAAGAATGAGTGGTTAGGTAAATCCTCTCTACAGAAGTTTGATTAAAACAGGTTAATAATACATTTTGTTGTCTCCAAAGAATAAGTAGGCAGATGTGATGCTTTAAATAGAAGACACTATTTTCAGTTGCATCTTAAATTGTAAATACACAACAATAACAACAAAAATAAAAACAATCACACTAAAAACAAATGCATGCTCTAGAATTCCCAGTCCACAAACATTTGTGCATGTCCACTTTGCTATATCGGGAGGAAGGTGATTTTGTGACTAACCTAATAGATTTAGATTAAAACAAAAACTAGATTAGATAAAAATTGAAGAGCTTTACATAAAGAAACAAAACCTTCTGCTTCAGCTCTTGAAATCTTACCACATGTCTGACCATAATATATTTGAAGAAGCATAAAATAACAATATGTGAAAGTGCAACACGCAGATAATAATTTAGGGCTTACAATAAATTGAAGTTTGAGCATTGGGAAAGAAAAGCGTGTCATTTCATGAAGCTCCAAAAATAGACATGAGAAAACAATTAACTTAATGAAAATATTGATAACTTTAACATTCAAAACATGTTGATGTGTTGATCTTAGAAACAAGTTGTTCAAAAGTAAGACCCTAAACGAGTATTTTAAAAACACAATAGGATACCTAAAATGTCATGTCGAAAACATCCCAACAAAAAATAATAAAAAACAATCCTTAATACAAAACTTAAGCCTTAAAAAAATTAATATTTAATGAACTAAGGTTTAAAAAAAAGGAAATGAGAAAAAAAATTAGATTGGATCCTCACTGTTTTACAAAGTTGGTTAGATCCTCACAGTTTTATCTATTTGCTCAGATCCTTTCCGTTTTATAAATTTGCTCAGATCCATACTGTTTCATGAATTCACAAACTTTTCATATCACAGAATCACACTCATAACATCATAAATATATGGTCTTCCATCTTATCTTTGAAGTTTCTGCACAGCCTTCTTCTGCATAAGAAGCAGCTCTTCAGAGATTGACTGATTTGCCGTCTTTCGACAACATACTCTTGACACCTAGAAAGAAATTTGATATTTTATCCTCTTGAAATGGAAGGACCCAATGTGTTACAAATGTTATAGATACCTTTAACAGAACTGCTGTAAGCCATCCCTAAGTAATCAAGCTCTTGAAGTAACTTTTTAAGGCTTGTAGCTGGTTGTTTACGTATTTTAACTGTGGGAGCTGGTCTCTTTGTTGTCTGTGTGTGCCACACTAAGACCTAAGGAAGAAATTTAAAAAATAAGACTCCATCCACAAAGGATAAACTCAATATATCATAACTTGTTTGCACCTGAGTACACCCCTCTGCTCTAGGTTCTATGTCATCAAGAGTTAAGTTCAGACTTCTCAAAAACAGATCTTCTTCATACCCAGCTTTATATGGCATTGATGCATCAGGATGTTTTAAAAAGTACTCAATGTTAACTGCAAACCCAGCCATATCAACAGGAAAAACACGTTTAGCTGGCCATGAATCATAAAAGCCAATGACTTTTCCCTGCAACCCAAAACAACAAATAATTTAAAAACGACAAGAAATCGCATCTACAGATATACTCTGCTGGCGATCAAAAACACTTACATCTTTGATAACGGGTGAACTAACTCCATAATCACCTATGAGACCAACTGGAAACATAGAGACCTTTTCAGTAGGTCTTATTTCACTAAATAGACGGAGGTCAAATGTATTGTCATCATCCCCAAAATACAGAACACCTTGCTTCACATTTGACTGAATCCAATGCAGAGCAGCTCTCCTGTTTGCCACTCCTCTGGGCACTGTACTTGCTTTCCGGTACATTTCTGGCATTGGACTGGAAATATGTGTGAATGGGATGCCTAAAACAGGAAAAATGAAGCAAACAATCAAGATAATAATAATAAAATAACATGCGTCAGAGTTATTAGGCTTACCAAAATGTTTTAAAAGTTCCATCACCATTGCATTACAAAGTCTGTTATCATCTGCCACAATCCAATGCAAATTGGGCACATGCATTAGAGTTTGTCCTAAGCGTGTGAGTTCAGCAACTTGTTCCCTGCGAGGGTATGATGGAGTGATGAAGTAAATTTTGGGTTCTTCTTTGACAGGCAAACCACGGGTGTCCTGGAAATTATGAGATATTTTAATAGAATTGTTCAACATGAAAAATTAAATTTTAAAATCACACAGTAGATTCTTACCTTGCTTTGTTCATGGCATAGGACAACATTTTCTTGGTACGCATAACGTTTCATTTCTTTGCCTTGTGATGTCCAAACAAGATAGAGCACTATGGTTGTCATTGCCAGCATGAGCAGAAACATACTCTTCATTTGACTCATTTCGGTTACAACTTTTCATTATCTGGCATTAATCAAAATCCTGTAACAGTGCGTAATGAAAGTGGTTATAATGGGCAAGCAGTCGGTGTGATGAATGAAGTATCAAAGAGAAAACATTGAAAGAAGTACTGCGATCCCACTCATAAATAATAGTACAATGAATGAAGGTTCTCAAAGTTATTTCATTTAAAAAACTAACCAAATTCGTTAGATACCTACAAACGCACTAAGTTAGTTCTTACCCACACTCATGTAAGGTTTTGCACAGCAATGAACGCCAAACATATCACTAGTGACATTTAAGAGATTCTTTAGTCCTCCGACTATCATAAGAAAGTTTAATTTGCCCAGGAATGCTCAAATGTTAACTCAATTCTCCAACCTTGCCATGATCTGTGTGCTGTTTGCAAGCTGCTGACTTACTTGCAAAAAAACACGAGTTGGAATCGTCTGTCAGTTCAATATTTCACATCGGACCAAAAGAAAGATGAGAGACGGCTATGAGAGCAAAGTCTTGTTGCAAAATATTTCGCTGTGGGGTGGATTGAACATGCCACGACAGGAAAACGAAACGACTTACAAACCATTTCCATTTCTATATATTTTCCGCCTAGCCCCGCTACGCTCCGCCGCTGCGTGGCCAAACAGAACAGCAGACAGCAGACTGCCCTCGCTGTCTGCTGGAACGGTCCCGCGTCCCGCAGGCATTGTCGCGAGTGCCAAGATTCCGTGGACAAAATAATGGCCGAAGCAGGAGACGGGAATTTCTCCAACTCCCAACCTAAATGTAGCCCAACTGCAATTACTGATGCTCCCATTACAGATCCGGGATCGTCCATAAAGGTGCGCTATATGTTTTCATTCTAGACCTGTCGTCATGACAGAGTTGGGGATGTGTCAAGTGCCTGCGGCTAAGCAGACGATTTGTTGTGGACTATTTTGTCCTGACATTGCCAAATCTTGCTGTTTCACGGCTTTCCAAAGTGAAGGCTGTGGTAAAGTTGACAGAGCCAGTCTCTGTTTTCAATATTTTATTGCACTTCATTCACAAGAAAGCCGTTGACCGACCGTCACAAGGCCGACCTAACCTGCCCACTTCATTTGTTATGGTTTTCTTTAGACATTCTTTTGGCCATACTTGAAAGACTGTACAGTTCACAAACACCGCTCTGTAGTTCTAAAAGCATTTTTATTTTTCTCATGTTAAACTGTTTCTTTCAAGAAAAATATCAGTTTTTTGGGAGGTCCCCATGGTTAAGCCTCCATCTGGTCTGAGCATGTGATCTGTCTGTATGTATCAGATTTGTATCTGTGACAAATCTTAGGGAAACATCTCATGATAGAATTTTGTTTAAAGCTTCTCGGTGTACATTTTTTTGTGATAGAAAGCTGTAATGGATTATTTCAAGGGTAGGAACAGACATTAGTTTAGAAATAAAACAATTATTTAGGAATTAGTTTTTCTTAAGATTGAGTCTTCCTGTGATTTTCCATAGAATATTTTGCTTACGACACAGGTGTTTAAGAACTATTATTTGTGTTGATTACAGAATATAGAAGGATCGAATGCCTTTGTTGGGCAAAGAAAGTTGGTGAGTAGAGAGAGTTTATTTGCCTTGAAGTCACTTTAGTAATAGAAAGTTCAAGCATTGTGCTTTGCTAGAGCTTCAATTTTTTTTTTATCTTATTTCTGTTACTGATTAAGTAAGTTATGCTTTTAGACAATTGCTTCCTGTTTTCTCACATTTTTTATCTTTAAAATTTATTTTAATAGTTTGTTACATATTGCCTTGAAACCTTTTTTATGAGGATTTCTTTTTTTTCTTTCTTTTTTTATTTCTTTTTCTCTGGTGGAGACTCCTCGCTCTCTTTTTTTCTCCACGGGTTATCAGCCTGTTTTTCCCCTTTGCACTATCAGATTTCACCTTGGAGGCTGCTTGTTAAAACTCTGGCACACATCCCCCTCTAATTATTTCAAATGTCTGCCCAGGGAAGGCCACGGGGAAAATGTAAGAACCCAAGGTGCAAGCAGCCACCGTCTGCATTAGCTCGGAAACTATTTTTTTTTTTTAAAAAAGTCGCCGTTTGAAAAGCATATAATCCTCCAGTCTGTTGTCGTCCCACCTGCCTCGCCCGCCCCTTCCCCTCCATCCCCCTGGCCTCCGACCGTCCGTCCAGCAGCGAGCAGCGAGGGGATCCGAATATCGCTGTCTCTCTCGCACTCGTGGCGCGTGCCGCACAGACGACAGGCCGTTTGGAACGAGTCTCCTCGGCCGTCGTCCGTCAGTCCTTTCGGTCCCTTCGGCGGCGTTGCTCTGACCGCTGCTCGCCGCTGTCCGTGGGGCACCGCCGGCCTGTTTGCCTTTGCCTTGCCGAATGGCCACCGTCAGCTCTGCGGTAGGTCTTGTTAGGGTCTCTATAGCCCTGCATGCAACCTGATTGGCTGTCTCTCTCGCATTCACGGGGCGTTCTTATGGGTGCGAGAGAGACAGAGCGACGAAAACGTACGAAAACGGCTCTCGGAATCAGGCTGCAGTAGCCCGAGCGACATGTACTGCTCCGCCCACCACCCCCGCGCCACGTTCCTCTTGTTGTTCCCCTGTCACTCACTGTGTGCACGGGGGAAGTCCGTCGTCCCGGTCCGCGGTCGCAGCCGCGGCGCTCGCAGGTGGCTTTCGTTGCTTTCGCTTTGACCGATTGACGGGGAATTCCACGGTTCTGGCATTTATAGCGGCAAGGACGCGTTACCACTGCAGCCAACCTGGCACTCTCTGGCGATAAGGAGCCACGACGCGAGGGCAGAGTGAGTCACTTGCTCTCACGGGGTGGCCCTGCGAGTGCGACAGAGAGAGACAGCTTAGTTTTATGAACGATTTATTGGGGGAATGTTTTTATTGAAAGAAAGCGCAAGGGATCCCTACAGACAGACTCGATTGCATCCAACACTCGTTTGTAGCTGAGCTCGACCCTACACTGTCGGAACCGAATGCAAGCACCCGGGCCGGGTCACTGAGAAAACCTTACAAACTATTTTGGGCCTTACAAAGAAAAGTAGTTTGTATAACAAAGTATTTTGAGCATACATAAGCTTACAAAGAAAATACTTCGTAATTTACGAACTACTTCTTCGTATAACAAATTATTTTAGTTTGTTATATGCATGCTCAAAATACTTGGTAAGGTTTCAAGAGTGTTCATTGTTGTGGTTGGCAACGCCAGGGGCTGTTCACTGCTGTTCCCCCCCCCCCTCTTTCTTTTACCCGCCGAAACAGTGCGAAGGAGGCAGCCCCGCTTATCACCTTACGTACCTCTGTCAGAGGAATACTTTTGCCAGCAGCCCCCTCGCTGGCTAAAATGGGAACGCCTTCCCGGGTAGTAGAACACCAGGACCACGCCGTGCCCCACTTTTCCCGCCGTGCCCCACTTTTCCCCCCATCCCCCCGAAACGGGGAGCAGTACGGCCGACCGTCGTTGCAAACATAAAGGGCATCAGTTGAAAAGTCCGACCGGTTGGACATAAATGTCGTGCGCTTCATTACTTTGCACCGCGAGCCTAGTTAGTTGAACAAGGACCGCTTCTTTCGCCGGTGAGGAATTTTTTTCCAGTGGCGCTCCACCCCCGCGCCATAATTGATGCCCCCCCCCCTTTTCTCCCAGCAGCAGGTGTAAGGCATTGCATGGCTGCGCGGGCTGCGTATGCTGTCGTCAGCCGCCCTGCGTGTGCGCGCTGCGATCGGGGTCAACCGCCCTGCGACTCCGAACGATCATTTCTTGGCGCTGTCTCTCTCGCACCCCCTGGGCAACGCGCCACGCGTGGGAGTCCCACGGTGGGACGAAGACAAGGCGACACCCTTGTGCGGGGCTGCGGTTTGTCCGGCCAATCACGTGACTGGATTTGCAGCGTGACCCCCTCCCGCCGTGAGCCTGAGTCACCAGTGTATTGGTAAACCTTTGGACGCTGTGGTGTCAGGTGTGACAAAAAAAAACAAGAAAGAAAGAAAGAAAAAACCGCATTGCCTTGCGGTGACGTGATCCCGATCGCGCGTTAAAGCGATGATTCCAAGATAGTGCGGGCCGGTGCGGGCGTACTTAAGCTTTTAAAAGGCAAAGTCATTGTCACTCACTCACTACCAGCAGGTGTCTCGAACAGCACATCAACTCGTGCACTGGTAAAACTAAAGCGTGGTTTTATACCCTCTGTTTTCAAGCGTAATCCGTTTACGCTTGAAAACAAATCGCGAGGCTTGTCCGCTTCGACTCCCCCAGTGCAGGGGGGAATTTCTTGTCTAAAGCGTGACTTTATTCTGCTGGACTAAAGCACACAGTTGCGCTTTGCTTTCACCAGTGCGGTGACGCCGTGCCGATCGGGTGGCGCGTTAAAGCGACGATTCCCAGATAGTGTGGGCGTACCCAAAGCTTTTAAAAGTCAAAGTCATCGTCACGCACTACCGGCAGGCCGGGCAGGCCGGCCCCGAAGCGCATCGCATGGCCTCGCTGACGCGTTAAGCGACTCCCAGATAATGCGCGCGTGTGTCACCGCGGTGTCACTGCAACGCTGCCAGCTCTCCGTCTCTCTCGCACTGCTGCGGGGTGCCCCGTGAGTGCGAGAGAGACAGCGGCATTCATCGGCCCGCACGCGGTTTATCGCGGCACGGCGCGTCCTCCATTGATCGCGTCTCTCTCGCACTCGTGTGGGCGTCCCGGACGAGGGCGAGAGAGACAGAGCGACAGAGCCTGCTGAAACTTTGATCGCTGGCGCCGTGTCTCTCGTTTTCGGGTCGTGCCAAGTGCGGCGCACGCCAAAGGATGTGGGGGAGGGGGAGGGTCCTTGGGGCCCTTTGAGGCCGGATGGCACAGTGGGCCAGAAGAATGGTGGAGGCGGCCAAAACTCTAGGCGCGTTTTGAGCTCCAGAGTCGCTAATGGGACGAAGAACGTGTGCCCCCCAAGGAAGGGCTAAAACGTTAAATCCTTGGCGCCGGTCTCTCTTTTTGGGGTTCGTGCCCATTGCGGCTCACCCCAAAAAGGTGGGGGGAGGGGCCCACCGGCCCTTGGGCCCCTTTTGGGAGGCCGGATGGCACGTGTCGCCGAAGAATCCCCTGTCTGGGGCCTTTCTCTCTCGCCCGCGGGCTCCCCGAGTCGCTCTTTTGGGAAACCGCCCAAACGTTGACCCCCCCGAGGGAAGGCCCCCCTCCGGGAAAAAAAGGAATCCCTTTGACGTGGTCACGCGTTTTTGTTTTGAAATCCCATTAGCGCCTCTGGAGCCAAAACCGCGGTCGGGGGAGTTTTGGGGCCCGGCCTCCCCGGTCTCGGCCCACGTGGAGGGGGGCCGGGCCCGCCTCGCCGCGAATGCCCGGGGGCCCGGGCCTTTCCTCTCGCCCCCCCGTCGGGCGGCGCGGCCCTTTTGGCGCGCCCGCCCCGCGTACACCCCGCGACGCGCCACGCCCCCCGCGCCGGCAAGGTCGAAATCCATTTTGCGCCGGGAAAACGATCTTTTTTTTGAAAAATAAAAAAGGGTTTGGATCTCTCGGGTTGGTGGGGCGTCGCGTGGCGCTGCCCCGCGGCCCTCGGACTCCCCTCAGGCGGACCAACACGGACGCAGTGACCGCCAGGCGCGGATCCATCGACTCGTCGGGGGGGGTTTGGGGGGGGGAGTTGCCTACCTACAGGGACCACGTGCCACTTTTTGTCCTCCCCCCCCCCCCCCCGAATCCGCGCATGGTGACCGCGGTGCTGTTGTTCCCTCAGCCTAGAAGCGGGCTCTAGCTAAATCTAAAGTACAGTTTCGTTCCGTTTTTGGCTGACAACTTTTTCGCCACTGCCCCCTCCCCCTACGGTTCGCCGTTGTTACGCCGCGGCAGAAGGCAGGGAGTATCGCCTCCAGCCCCCCTCGACGGAGATACGCCGCGCGCCAAGGCCTGAGCCATGGCCTGGGCCAAGGCCTGCGCCAAGGGAGTTGTTTGTTTTTCGACTGCGCGGCGCCTGGACCGGTACCCCTACCCTGTTGTCCCGTCCAGTCACTTCGCGTTTGGTACCTCTGCAGCGGCGAGACTCCCCGTCGCAGCGACTCTCGGATGCTGGGGCGCGGGGTAAGGCCCCTCCATCTCACGCCCCGTTGCACTGCTCCACTGGTTCGCCTCTCGGGCCTGTTCAGCATGCGATGCACCGCCCTCCGAGACAACGAGACAAACAAAAGGCTGCAGGGAGAATCTGCCCCGCCCTGCATGCTGTTTCCGAGCATGGCTTTCGTCGCTCTGTCTCTCTCGCACCCCCGGGGCGCCGCGCAGTGGGCCAGAAGACCGGTGGAGGCGGCTAAAAGTCTAGACGCGTTTTGAGCTCCAGAGTCGCTAAGCAGGACTCGAACCGAGCGTGTGACCCCACCAATGGATTCCCCGTTCGAAGAGCAATCCATTGGTGGGGTCACACGTTCGGCTCGAGTCCCATTCAGCGACTCTGGAGCTCGAAGCGCGTCTGGAGTCTTGGCCGCCTCCGCCGGTCTTCTGGCCCACTGTGGTCTCGGAGTGCCAGTCTAAATGAGGCCCGTTTCCGCGGTGCCTGTTCCAGGAGAGCAAGTCGGCCGCCGCACTCAAGAAGTCAAGTCGGTACCGCAGTCGCTCCCTCTCCGCCTCGTCCACCGACTCGTACAGCTCCGGTGAGTGGACATGCTGCCGTCGCGGCCCAACTAAAAACAAACCATTTTTTAATTTTTTTTTTGCAAAATAGTAAGATTAAATTGTGGGATTGTTACGGAAGCGATGGCACAGCGATGTTCCCCCTTGCAGCACCGCGACGACGGCGACTCCCGCACAGCGTTCTGTCTGTCTCTGTCTCTCTCGCAGCCCTGCCGGCCCTGCCGGTGCCGCTTGTTGTTGTCTCTGTTTTCTGGAGTAGCGCCGCGGAGCCGCGGACTGCAGCCGAAGCGGCACGACGCGGACCGGAAGCCGAGGCCCCGCTGCGACCTTTCCTCTGCACCAGCCAGGTAAGCGATGCATGGCAGTGTGTTGTTACTGGGAGAAGCGCCTGCGATGCGCGGGATAGGCACGCCCGCAGCACGCCGCCGCGTCGCGCTGCGGAGTGCTGCCTACAGCGCAGGCGTTCTGCACGCGCGGAGCGAGCTGCAAACACTTTTCTCCCTGCGCGTTGACGGACTCAAAGGGGGGCTCTGGGGGCGCGAGGCGGAGCAGAAGCTTGCTGGGCACACCGGCACGCGCCTGGCGTGACGTCCGCGACGCCGACTTCCGGGGTCGACTTCGTTCCGGGCCATCAGCGCGGCGCCGGATGCCGCGGGTTCGAATACCGCCACCGCCTGTCTCGTCACTTTCTGCGGCGTGTTTGCCCCCCGGGGCGGGGGACGCGGGCAGGGCTGCCGACTGGGTCGCCGAGCCGGCGCGGTCGGCGTGGCGTGTCTCTACTCACCCGCGACAATCGTCGCCACGGCGTGGCGTGGCGTGGCGTGGCCGTCGCGCCGCGCGCCTCGCAGACGGGGACCACTCCGACTGACTGGCGGCGCTGCCCGCACTGTAAGCCTGGACGCCTGGAGTGGAAGGGGCCCCATTGATTGGGGAAAGGGCGGCTCGCAGCGGGGGCCGGGGACGGCCGGGGAGCACCGCGGCGCGAGGGTGGGGGCGACAGTTCTTACCTTATATGACACCTCTCCCCCTCGCCACCATCGACCGCCGCACCCTGCCGCACCCCTGTCTCCGTCGCACCCTTACGGGACGCCCCGCGAGTGCGAGAGAGAGCGCGTGCTGCGGCGGCGCGATGCAGGGTGGGGGTGGCTGCAGCGGCTAGAGTGCACGGCGACCATGGCGTCCGTGGCGGGCCGGGGGCGGGCCGGGGGCGGGCCGGGCCGCTCGGCGGGCCAAGCAGGCAGATAGTGGCGTGGGGGTGGGGCCCGGCGGCCCGGCGAGGGTGGAGCCAGCGGGGGTGGCGGGGGCCCTCAGCTGACGACGCTCAGTCGCTCCGGGACCGCCAGACTCTACCGTTGGCGGCGCCGCCGTGTCGCGTTCGCCTCGCCCCGCGGCGTCGTGCCCGTCGTGCCGAGAGGCGTCTCGGCTCGGCTCGGCTCGGCTCGGCTCGGCTCGGCTCGGCTCGGCTCGGCTCGGCTGGCCTCGACTCGCGGATGGCCGCGGCCTGGACGGCCTAGACGCGGCCCGAGTTCCCTGCGGCTCCCCCTGGCGTCCTCGTCGTCCTCGTCGTCGTCCTCCGCTCGGCGGCCTCGGCGGCTGCTCCCCGATGGGCTCGGTGCGTGCTGGATGTGGATGCCGGATGGCGGCCGAATGAAGAATTGATTTGAATATCGGAGCGGGAACGGGACGCGGATGGCGCGGCCAGCTGAAACATTCACGCGGTCGCCAACGGTTTTTCGGGTGTGAATGTTTCAGTGCCGCTGAATGGATTCCCCGCCTTTTGCTAAAACACGACACTCTGCCGACTGGTTCGTCGCTGCCGCCGCTCTGTCTCTCTCGCTCTTGCGGGGAGGGAGGGAGGCAGAGCGACCGTCCTATCGCCGGCTCCCCGACCCAGCCGGCTTAGGGCGCACAGTGGGCCAGAAGACCGGTGGAGGTGGCCAAAACTCTGGACGCGTTTTGAGCTCCAGAGTCGCTAAATGGGGCTCGAACTGAACGTGTGACCCCACCAATGCATTCCTCGTTCGGAGAGCAATCCATTGGTGGGGTCACACCTACGGTTCGAGTCCCATTTAGCGACTCTGGAGCTCAAAACGCGTCCAGAGTTTTGGCCGCCTCCACCAGTCTCCTGGCCCACTGTGGGGCGTCCTCCTCCTCCCCTTGTGAGACCCTGCGGCAAACTGCGCGTTTCCGGACGTGCGAGTTCCGATCCCCGAACCAATCCCCGCTCCACACCGCAACCTCGGCGTCGCTCCGTCTCTCTCGCACCCCTACGGGGCTCCCCACGAGTGCGAGAGAGACGGCACACAGCCAGCGCTGCAGTCGGGATCACACCTCTGGGGCTGTGCTGGCTGCGCTGGCCGGGCCACAAAAAGAGTCCCGAGCTCCATGGCCGTGGTGGACGGGCAGGGGCGGGCAGGGCAGGGGAAGCTTGCAGGTGGTTGTGGGTGGATTGGATTTTGCTTGCTGCCGCTTGCTGCCCGGGTGAGGCCGAGCGGGGCTGCCCTTGAGCTTGCCGAGCTAGACTCCCCCTTTTCGGCCCTTTTTCTTGGAGCCCCGCTCGGCCCACTCGGAATAAAGGCGCTTCGCGGTCAGGTAAACGGGTTCGTTTTTTTATGGGATGGGTCGGGTCTGAGCGGACGCGTTGTCAAATATTTCTGCCATGCGCCCTCGCCCGGTGCGCGTGCATAGTCTCAGCTGGCTCAGTGTGTCCATATTTCAGGGGCCTTGTTTCGAAAGGTCTCTTTCGGGCGGAAAATTGATCTTGGGGTTGTTTGGCGCAACACGGTGGTCGGCCTCGTCAGACCCGCCTGCGACGTGCGTGCAGTGGCGTCATCATTTCTGCAGTGTGTCTCCAGGAACCCGGAAGACTGGTTCCGAGAGGTGTCGCTCTGTCTCTCTCGCACTTGAAGGGGGTGCCCCATGAGTGCGAGAGAGACAGAGCGACGAAGACGGCTCTCGGAGTCAGTCCGCATGGTTCGGTCTGGGAGGAAACGCCGGCGGCCTTTGCGTCAGGAGTTCAGCCCCGCCCTCCTCCTATTCGCGCTACCTCGTGCAGACCCATCCCGAGAGTCGTCGCTCTGTCTCTCTCGCTCCCATGGGGCGTCCCGCTGAGAGAGACAGAGCGACGCAAACCACCCTCGGAATCAGTCTGCAGGGTGTAGTGGGGTGCAGCCAGTGTGATTGAAGCTCTTCATACCTGGCTCGGCTCGGCTCAGCTCAGCTCGCCGGAGAAAATAATCCCGTCTCTCCGTTGGGGATTGCTCCATTTTTATAAATAAAATGGGACTTGTGGAAGGGGGAAGGGGTGGGTTCAGAAGCTACGCGCGGATGCGCTGTTGAGCCACTCTTTTCCTGTTTCACGGCCCCCCCCCCCCCCGACTCGCCCCCGTGCTCCGGGCAGGGCATAATTTCGCTGCCTATTCACTGGAAGTAAAAATACATAGCAAAAAAGTCGAAAACACTTTTTGCTCTCGACCATGGGAAGACTTTGAAAATGGTCCGTCCGTCAGTCGCCAGTCCCTCTGTATGTCTGTCTGTCTGTCTGTCTGTCTGTCCGTCTGCCTGCCTGTTTGTGTGTCTGTTTGTCTGTCGGCCTGTCTGTCACTAGGCCTCGTCTCGTGTCGCCGGGGAGGCCCCGGGAGGCCCCGAGGGTGGGTACCCCTGTGATCCTCTCGCGGGGCTCTTGAAGTGGAAAGGGATTTCGGGGGAGGGGGGGGGGCTGCAACGTAGGCCCACATGCATTGCGCAGCCAGCGCAGTGCGGCAGGGGCGGGGGAGCGAGAGAGACGGACGTACCCGCTGCAACGCTCAATACGAGTCGCCCCGAGTGCAGCGTGTGTGTGAGTGCGAGAGAGAGGGAGTAGGCTCGTGTGTGTGTGTGGCGGGAACCGGCCAGCACGCACACACATACACTCACAGGCCACCTTCGTTAAAAAAGTGAAAAGATCGGTGGGGCGATTCTGATTGATTCGACCAGCGCGCTGGCCTTTTGTTTTTCGTTCGTTGTTTTCTTTGTTTTTCTGCGGTTGTGAGAGGGGGGGGGGGCGTAGGTGGGCTTCCTGTGAAGTTGGGGAGAACGCATCAGTTAGCGTGCTTCTTTTGTTTGCCGGCACCCTGCCTTCCCTTGAGCAGGAGGAGCAGGCGCGCCTAAGGCGCCTAACATGCAGCAGTTGAGGGCAATTTTAAAGCTTTGGAGGTCGGAAAAGCGATATCCTTTGAACCGTACCTAATCCGCCTGATGTTTACGGTGCGGGGGCCGCCAGGCTCGCTCACCTTGATGTAGGCGTCCCGGGCCATGGTCCCGGCGAGCAGACTGATTTCGAGAGTCGCTTTCGTCGCTCTGTCTCTCTCGCACCTCTACGGCACGCCACATGAGTGCGAGAGAGACAGAGCGACGAGTCTGAAGCGGCGCGTCACGGCGTCGCCGAGCTGAAAGAGGAGGGGTTGGTTGACTCGGGCCTTTTCAATCCCCGGGGGTTTCAATTTCGGTTTTGCGGAGTCGGCTCCATCTCTTTACTTTTGTTCGCATGGCTGCCAGCCCCGCCAGCCCCGCCAGTCCGGCGCAGGCTGGCTGCCCTGGCTGCCCCGCCTGCCTTTCCCTCTGTTTATATCACTCGATTCCTTCCCTGCGTTCGATTCCTTCCCAGTTCATCTGGCTCCTGCTGGCTGCCCCGGGCCGCCCTGGGCCAGCCAAGCGAGGGAACCGAGCAAATCGTCAGGCACTCTGTCTCTCTCGCACTCATGGCGCGCCCCGTAAGGGTGCGAGTGAGAGAGACAGCGCAACGGAGCACTCTCTGCTGGCCTCAAAATTGTGAGGTCGGGGGCTGCCTCCGAGGTGCGCGACAGAGCGGCCGAGGGAGGAGGGCAAAGCTCGGACGTCTGTGCGAGGCTTTGCGGGTGTGTGGGTGTGTCGGGAAAGTTCTGCAGTCAGGATTCCCAGCAGCGCGACGTCTGACCCAGACCGCCCAGACTATGACAGCGGGGGGGCTCCTCCCCATGTGTGCCTTGTGTGTGTGTACACA